CAGTCTCATCAAATCTCACGACTGAACGCATCGTATTCCGTTCTATTTGGTTTCGTTGTTCACGCAACGTTCAAGGGTAACCACAAGTAGTGTCCCTTAGTACCAGTGCATATGAAGTATATATGATTTGAGTGGTGGTGGTGCCGTGGCTTAGTCGCTGTCACCGGCGTGCTCCGGACCCTTTGGTCCGAGACTCCAACACTGCCACCGCCACCTGACTTTGGTGGTCGGCGGCTGTGCGGTCGTCCGGTTCAGTATCACGCCCAACCTATCGGGGCCTTATGCGGTTCGCCACTCCAAGTCCGAGGGCCTAGTTTGCCGGTTTCCACCACTGAACAGCAGGTCCTCGTGGCTATGGGGTTTACCCCGTCTGCTGTTAATCACACGTAGATGTGTAACAAAAAAGTTCTTTGCGCTGTTTGCATGACAGAAAATTAAAAATTTCAGCGCTGTCAATCAGTAACAACTCAGTACACTCCTGTTTGCCTGGGTAGTTGCAAATCGCTTGATCAAGGTGTTTTTCCGATTAAACTGTTTTATTTTGCGGTAAGGGGCGTGTGGGAAGCTATGCAAATATGAATGACCAAACAGATTTGCATGAGCATAAACGAAAGGTAGGTAATAGACATCAGTATGCGAGTAGTCCTTCACGTTTTAGTCTGATAATTAAAGTTATTTCAATTTAAAAACTAGTGAATCATTTAAAGTGACTGTTTTCTATACAAAATCCAAGATTATTATTCTAGTGGTCAGAGTTCCTACTCAAGCCTATAAAATATTTTCATTTTATCCACCGGAGGCCAGAACGACCCAGCTAACCTGTTAAGCGAAATCCATTGAATCATACTGCACTGTACAATATTTCAAGGAAGCTTGTTGGATAAAATACTGAAAAATAATTTCATAAATGCCAGGTTTGTTTGAGTTCGATTTCGATTTAATCGGGCATTGAATGTCATTCATATTTTGTCCTGAGCGCATCGCCAACAAATTCGATGATTTTAGCTCACGAATTTGAATTTGGTGAATTTTCTGAGTTTGCACAACTGAAATCTTCCCGTGTTCAGCAACAATAAACTCCGAAATAATCAAGTTAAACTTCCAAGTGGCCGATCACGAAACGGAATGCACATCTCATTTAGTGATCACCGACTTTGTCATCAATCTCTGTCGGAGGGTGATATTCATATATATATATATATATATATATATATATATATATATATATATATATATTCATTCATACATACCCACCCAGGCACACACCCACGTCGATCTAGCCGCTTAGAACTACACCCGCGATTGTCAAAGTACAGCGAGATGCAATCAAACAACTTAATCATTGAGATGTGTTCATACTCTCACACCTAATACAGCACTCGCCACAGAAAAGCCTAGGTAGCAATGCATAGCTGTTTCTTCCCTGTTTGGCATCATCAGCAAACCATAGGCACCGAATCTTTTAGGATTCGAAGCCTGACACGAGGAAATTTTAATCTAAACCACCTTGATTTTGATGTAGATGAACACGTCTTTATGAACAAACCAGACCGCCTGGAGCAACACTTTGCCACGTTCACATTCGAACTACGTAGCCAACAATAAATGTGGGTGTGGCACAGAAAATTCTTTTTTAGTGAAAAATAAGTTCCAAGCTCTGACTAATTGCATTTTGTTCCCCCCCACCCAAAAAAATAACTAATTGAATTATTTCTCCGATGCTTATATTGTTTCTGTAATTAGATACGGATTTGTTAATCTCCGCATTTTGTTGTAAAATCCTTTTCATGTTACCCATTCATGCTTATCATTTGTTTGCTTATTGGGGTCACACGGACAATTTTCTGTAGTAAACTCGCGCAAACTTAATTCGGCGAATACTGACTAAATCAAATCAACTCCACAAACACACAATTCAGTTGGCTCCTTCCTGATCACTATAAAACCTTCGGGTTATGCGGAAATGTATATGAATCGGTCCTCTTAGACAACTGTATGACACCGGATCAAACTGCTTGCATTAAAACACGATCACGAAAATAGGCACCGAATAGTGATGTCGAGAGAAAACTAGTAGTTCATTTCCGTTCATGTTTTCAGAGATTCACGGTCAGAGAGCAGCAAAAAGCACTATCAGGTACAGCGTGAGAGTGAAAAAAGGGGGCAAAAATAACGAAAGAAAATGATTTCATTTCACTATCTGCGATCATGCAAAAATATGGCAAAATCGATCCACACACCTATAATCCTCCCGGGGTGAATCGGAGTGGTGGTAGGGGAGATAATCGACCGAAATGACATATGTTAATATAGACAGCCGATAGACTCTTGTTGGAATGAGCCTCCAACCAGACCCCGGGAACTACTGCTGCTACTACCACTGCCCTCTCACACAGTCCAATTGAGATGACGAATCCACCTGACCATTTTGCATTCACCCCACCCACATACTAATATTCGTTTCGGATAAACACCGGTCAGATTAATTTATCCTCTCTGTATACGTTCCGTATGATACGAGCAAAGAAAACACTGTGTAAGTGTGTGTGCACATTTATATGGAGGGTGAGATTGAGGAATGATGGTGAAGCAAGTGGAGGCAGACTGCAGAAGCCGTTTACGTTCGAAAAGGTCACTGCAGCACAAATACTCCTGAAACGCGAGTGCAAGATATGTATATACGTGTCGTCCACATTCACGTCAAAATGCTATGCGCGATGAAGCTAATTTTCATATTATTCCATGTCAACTGGAAAGCAACCACTGAATGACGGATGAGACAAATTGACTTGGGTCCCAACTCGCAGCAATCCGTTCCGTCTCTCTCTCTCTCTCTCTCTCTCTGCGCGTGTGAATGGTTTTTCTGACATTCATATAGTCCAGTTTGCAGATTGATCTGTTCACCGCATAATGAGAGATATCACTGATCGTAAACGACTGGAATCCGGCTTAATTGGGNAAAGGCAATTTGGAGGTGAAATGCTGATGTAATTGTACAACAAATGTACTCTTTGTGGTCTAACACCATAGCATTATTATTCGCTAGTTTGAACTGTCTGTGTCGGTTGCAAAACAACAAGCTGATCGTTACCAACCAATCCTGGCGAACTGTGGCACTGAAAATTGACGCATCCGTGCAGAGGTGATAAATGATCATTTTTCATTCATGATAAGAAAGATATTTCATTTCGCAAAACCATGTCATACATTATAGTATCTATAAGAACGCTATAGAAAGAGGGCAGTGGGTCAATCTGTAATGAAATTTTCACATAGAAGAAAATTGGTTATTCAATGTTTTTATGTCTCATAGTGCACTCAAGCTTAATATCTGAAAAATGTACAAAATCCTACCTTCGATGCATTTTCGTATTCATTTTCTGTTCCTCATCAAACGGTATAGGAACACGAACAAGCGAATGTTCAGCGATCAATCAAGCCAAACTGCGACGTGACTAGTGACCGTAGTGAAGGTTCCGATGCTTCTATGCTCAGTATCAAAACCGACAAACATTGCCCGATCAGCAGCTTCATTGGCGCCAGTAACACTGTTAGTAAAAACTGTCTTGTGGACAATTTCATACAACCGCTGCCGTTGACATCCGGTGTAATCGCGACAACTCCGTCATTTTCTTCAGCCAATAGTACATTTGTCTTTGGGGGAGAGCCCTACGCACGACAGAGGAGCACATTTTTACCTCTTGATTCCTTTACTCCAAATCCCGTGCGATCTATGCTACCTCAACTCACCGAACAACTAGGTGATCAGGGTCCAATCGATTCCGGTGCTTCGACAACAGATTTGGGATTGAACAGACTGATGGAAAACACATCACATCCATTTGCATGCCAGGTCTGTTGCGCTTTCACGACTGATCAGCCGGATCTGTTAATTAAACATGCAGAAAAAAATCGCGTATCCATCAGTTCGGACCCAATCAATCCGTGGATTACAACACATACGGGCAATCTTTGGTTCTGTCGTCTGTGTGCCTACAAAAGCCCATTGAAGGCAAACTTTCAGTTGCATTGCAAAACGGAAAAACATGCGCAACGGTTGAGCTTATTGTTGCACGTATGTGAAGGAGGACCAACAAATCAGGCCCGAATACTTTCGTGGCCTGGAACGAATCGGTCAGTGGGATTGCCTAATCCGGTAGAACATGGGCAGTTCGGGACAAGACAACCGATCAGTTTACCTCCATCTCCTATCCAATTGTTGTGTTTGGCGTGTGACGTGTACACCACATCGGTGCACAAATTTCGAGTTCACTGTCAGTGCGCTCGGCATCAACGTGCCGTAGAACTGTTCACCTATTTGGCCACCAGTCGAAGTCATTTGTGGACTCGTCTGAGTGGTTTGTGCCTGACATTTGCTCAACTCATTCGATTGCCTCAAGCCGAGTCCATGGGAGAAAATTCTATGGGTGATGGACTTGCTCACGTGTCTCGTATTATGAGTGAAATCAAAGTGGAATTTGTCTGTGAGATTCCTCGATGCACTGCGCGCGAATCCAGCATGACCATGGAAACCGGGCCACGGCGATTTACCACAATTCCCAAAGCGTTGACACATTGGCATAGCTCCGAGCATCAACAAGCGTTGACCTTTAATCAGGTATGCCAACCAGTGACTGTTTATCAATCTTTTAAATTGTTGAAAAACTGGTAACTTCCATGTTTTGTTTATTCAGGAAATTTTACTAAAATGCACACAGTATATGAGTGATTGGTCTGACTTCGGTATAATCTGTAGATATGTCATTACCGGCGTAAATTGGATTAGAGCGTTTCTAGACTGGCGCAAGAAACTGGGAGGAGAAAGATGTGGTCCAGACGTCTCTAATCAGTCATACAACGAGGTGAGGTTGTGTTCAGCACTGCATTTTTGATGGTCCGCGTTACTTTTATCGATTCCTTAGTTGTTAGCTGGCAACATTTATCCTTTAAGTAAACCGTGTTGGGATGTGCACGATCGTGTTCCATAACTAATTGTTCCGTTGCATTTATGTTTTCTCAGTTAAAGCAATGCCCCTCGATGTTAAAATAAGCACAGTAATTTCTGTTCACCACCAGGTGACGTTCATGGCACGTGTTTTCATCACAGGTCCTGTTTCTCCGAATTGGAATCGGCTACTCAATATGAGTTGAAAGACACCCTTTAGTTGCTCCGGAAAATAGCATTTTGTGCTTTTTCGTGCACAGTGCAAGCCTGAATCGAAACAATAACGTTTGCACTCGCTAACTAACACCGAGCTTTGTATTTCGAATGAAGTGGCTTCCAGTTGGCTTTATCTTCTCTGTCTCTTGTTGAGAACAACGGACGATTCACACTAAAGACTCACAATTTCTTGTGTACTGTGGAGTGGAAAAACTGATCAACTAGTTGTCTGTTTACATAGTTGTGTGGCGGATCGAAGTTTTATGCTGAGGTGGTGAAAAGTTCAGTAGCCTCGGTGGGATTCGAACACACGCATGGACGCCGCCCACGCTTCTATTGACGTTGTGCAACAAAGGCAGTCGACATTTTAACACCAGCGGTGATTAAAACAGCATGAAATGAAAATAAGTTTGGCTACTTGAACAGCAGCACATCCAAAGCAAGCATGATCATCCGGAGTCCACACACTGACTGACGCGATCGAGTCCTCAGTTTCCTAATATACTGCTAGCTGTTTAGATCCTGATTTATTCTTTAGTTTTTTTGTCAGTACTATTTCAATTCGATACGAAGTTTGGTTATCGTAACTAAAATTAAAAACTGTTTACGTTGAATTTATTGGCAAGGGTAATCAGCACATGGAATTACTATTGACAGGAGTTATTCTCTCGGAAAAGAGGTACATAAAGCCGAATAATAAAACTTAAGACTAATAGGGCTTTTTTGAATATACGGTTGTGCAGTGAATGCACAAGCAAGGGGGTGAGAAGAGAACGTGCTGCAATCAAAGGCTGACGCAAAGTATTGATGACCGTGTAGCGGATCGAGGGGAAGGAGACAATCAATAAATAGTGGTCCAATTTGAACAAGAGTGATTTATAAATGAGGACCGAATGGTGAAATACCGTTTGGTTAGTGTGATTAGTTCATGGTATCACTTGGTCAGTGCGTAGATGAATCATGGTCAATATCCAAACGTCTGGAATGTTTGAACCCGGGGGGGGGGGGGGANTTCTCTTGGGGGAATGAAGTCTCATTCTCCGAGTACTTGATATGAAATGCTTCGCAAAACCCTAATTCATAGAGTTTTCCGCACGAGATCCTAGAGAATTCCTTTACTTGAGATAAGAATATCTAAATCATTTTTACCGACGGTAGTTTTTAAGGCGCTTTAAAAAGTTGCTTACCGTTATGAACTCTGTCACAGTACCTTTTGTTTAATCTCCGACTAGGGTTAGCAAAGGTTTGTGTTTTTGTATTGAATTCACTTCAAAGTAATGATGCATTGGATGACATCAATTTCCCGATTTTCTAAGCTGGGCTACGGTAGTATACAACGCATCTTAATTACGAATAACGGGATTTCGAAGATGAGTTGCCAAGTGAATAAGGGAAATAAGAGTCTGAATTATTACACAAAAGAGAGATAGTTATGTTCGTTTGTCATACCTTGGAATATCGGTTGAGTCTCCGTTGGCACATTAAATACCCTCAGGTTCGGAATTGTTTTCTTTGACATTGCCTTGTAAGCGGAAGAGTGAATTGGTGGTACCTTTTTAGACTATCATCACCTGTGATATAAAATATTTTGTGTTCTGCAGTACGTACCAGCTGGGATGCAGCGAAATGCCTCCGGAATTTAATCGTGCTCGGTTGCGCCATTTTGTTTTTTATTTCGGGAAATAACTGTTTTCCTTTCGTTGCAAAAGGATAGCTCGCAAAATTTATCGGACCGCGTATTTTATCAGTTAAAGATACCCGTTCTGAAAAGTTTTAATATAGCCAAGTATCGAGAGATTGCAAGGGGAAAACATGTGCCACTTTTATTTATTTATTTTTCAATTTTACTTCATTTTATTGAACACAACGGTACAATTTTCAGGAAGGGGGAAGCTGCCAATCAAAGGGCTGCCATGGAGAAAGTTAGGCGATGGTGGTGGGGTTCGAACACAGGTCCCCCGAGGTTGTAATTTGGTGACGTTATCACCGGACCAACACTGATTTTCATAAAAGATGAGATCAGCGGTGAAAAAGTTAAGGCTATTTGAAGTTTGGTACATTTACCTAACAGTTCCATTCAATCCTAGTCCTTGGAACAGACTTCACCATCAAAAAATTAAGAATGTATTGCGTAAGGACAGTTTTTTGTTTAAAACAGAAATCATTTTCGTTGTGACGAATTTGCGAAATGTATGATTCAAACGAAGTCTTGTTTAACCGTTACCCTTTCAGCAGACGGGTGTAGAGTTGTTTCATCAGCTGAACAAACAGCACGAAGGTATTGGAGTCCGTTGGTGTCTGGGTGAATCGTGCGGTACTGTGGATCAAGTCCCTCTGCTATTGGCTGTACTGAGTGGTCAAAATGATACGGAGCTTCATCGGGGGAAATTGAACTCATCAAACGCGCATCTCATGCGACCTGTGGTGCCCAGTAATGCAGCCTCAGACTGCAAAACTGGTAAGTGGGAGTTGCAGTTGAATAGAGCATCTCATTCCGATACACGAATTGTTTACCTGAAATTGAACCGTTTATTCTGCTGCTCACTTATGACGAAAGCACTCCCGACCGCATCAGTAGAACAGATACTACTATCTCCATCTCAATATTCGATTAGCACATCAAGATGTCTTGCAGAAGGAAACTATGGAGTGAACATCGGATTACTGGTAAATAGCCACTGATTATTTCAAGAGTTTTTCAGAATTTTTGCACACTGAAGTTGCTGACGATCTTATTCACCGATCTAACGAGCATTCACAAACATCAAGTGTACAAATGAGTTGCGAATCAAGTCATCTGCTCCCCCGTTTGAGATAAAATTTGATTAGTGTGAACTTTCACTATTTTGTAAATAAGGGATGCATGCATACATACATACAGAAAGTATGTAATGATGGGTGCACAAAGAATCCTAAACGCGTACTCGGGTGAGACACAGATTTATTGAGATGGGCATGCAGGCAGTGTTCTTCATTTGACAGCATATGGCTAATAAATCTATCACATGAATCAAAATGCTTACACACAATAATATCAGCCAAAACGGTCTTTGAAATGCCACTGCAACGGGAAAGAAGTTTACGAGATTTGGAAAAGAGAACCAAGTCTGTCTCCTTTAGACGAAAAGAAAATACCGGGGAAGAGTACAACCAGTGGGGGAGATTGCAGACTGTCACAAATTTAGGAGAACACAAGGTTTTTGAGTCTAAAAGCGTACAAGGATAATCTACGCACCCTAATGTAAATGTTTTCAGCAGTTTTGGACCAAGAAAGGTTATGCGACAAAGTGACTCCAAGATATTTAACAGAGTCAACTTTGGGGATGATATTACCATTAACAGCAATTTCAGGCTGGTTACTAAAAAGGGTTTGGTAATGAGTACCTGTGTTAGGCCTAAAAGGAACACCAAACATTTATCGACATTGAGCATCAAAGATTCAACTAAAAATTTGATTTAGACAATCTTGAAGTTGACGGAAACTATCCGAATCAGTTGAGGGACAACGACCACCACTTCATCACCATACTTGCATTCGATAAAGGAATGGGAAGGTTGTTAATGTACAGTAAAGAAAGAAATGGAGACCAATAGGGACCCTGAAAAAACCCAGGGTTAACGTCAATCATGAAAGAATATTTACCGTTACAAAAAATGAACTGCGTCTTATGTGAAAACTAATTGCTCAGTACATTCAATAATCAATTGCCAGATCGCAATTCCGAAAGACATTGAGTGAGAGTGCCGAGATCAAGTGATCCGACAGCATTGGCACAATCAAGATCAATTAAACGTATGATGCCCAACCCTCTATTCAATGAGGATGAAACGGAGTGAACGGAGTGAGTAACAGCATCAAGAGCGGGAAGCGAATATTTTTAAGCAAATCGAATAGGATCATAAACAATAGATAAAAGGGTCATCCGGCTAAGAAGAACTCCTTCCAAAAATTTCAATGGTGTGCATGCAATCGGTCCGTACTTGGAAGATTCTTTTTGGGGATTGGTATTATTCGGACAAGCAACCTAAAGCACTTTATTCGTGGGAAATGTTTGTATATTTGTCAAATTTTCTGCGAAAGTCGATGCTACTTCTTCATTTATATTCATTTTAGAATAGTCGAAGTCGAATATTTGTTTAATGGTTGCACTGTTGGGAACTGTTATTTACTAGGTATAAGCTAAGTGCAGTTCGAGGTTTCTCAGTTCTGTTTGCCAATGTGTTTCAAACTACCACCTGTTCTTCGATCAAGCGAGCAGTTTTTCCTGTCCTATCAACCTGTGAGAATGCGAAAGTGATCAACCACCCACCGTCACACCTTCGATTTCTTTCCTCATGTCACTTGGGAACGACCTGTTGGCGGTCAGTTCAAATTGGGAAAATGGCGTAGGACTGAATGAGCAGTATCGAACTATTCTATCGGATATCCTGTGATGCGCCAATCAGACGAACTTTGACATTGCCTTGGGCAAACGCGACACCCAGGGTTGGCTTAATGACACAAGCTCACTCTACTTCTCTGTCTGTCCTTATGCAACTCATACGCCTGGTCACCTACACCCTCCTCACCAGCTCCCCGTGGTCGGAACACAAGCGC